CGCAACTGTGTTATGTGTTGTGTCACTTCTTTTATGACCTCTCCCTGGCTCTGCACACAGAAAAGACATACTTTACATCCAGCATGATGCAGCTCTAAACACATTCAGAGTCGTCTCAAGGTGATTTCCTGGAAAAACTTTAGGGCAGGTTAAAACATGAACAGCCAAATTTCCCCCCCTGACTTTCATGCACTTTTATACCTGCCAGTCTCCTACAGCAACATATCCGTGTGAAGTCGGGGTGAGAACACAGCAGGACATGTTCAGAAAAATAACGAAGTGGCAGGGGGGGTGATGACATTTAAATCATCACGACGGGGAACACTGAAGGAAGCTGCTTCACACTCACACTCTTTACAGCATCGATACTTTGATTACGTCATAGATAAAGAGGAACAACTATCATCACGGTGTCCGTTTTTGTCTCTATTCATCTGCCATCTTGGATTTCTGCAGCATGTTTTTTGTGTCATGTCCTGCATCCTGCTTCCATCATGTCAGACAGGTAACACTTAACGCTGTAAGGGACATTTGTAGGAAGAAGATTTTAGGGGCTGAATGCAGCGTGTGAAAACAGACACTTCTGTCCGTCCTCGAGGTGTTTAACCATTGTGTTCACGTTGGTGAGGATCAACATTTGGACTGCTAATTACTGACAAGGTTTATTTTTACCGGCAAAATGTCAATATGGTACTTACAACCTTAATCACTCTCTTAGCATTCCCGTCTCTGCAGCCAATGAGTGCATTCGTATTGCAAATGGACAGACCCTAAAGACTCTTTCATTAAGTCCCCGTCTTCTTTCAAGCTCTGCTTCCTATTCCATTATTGGAGATCAATATCAGGGTGGTGGGAGGATTCATCTGCATGTTAAGCAATCTCTTTTTGAACCAATGGCAGCTTAGGGATGGGGCAAGAGCTATGGGAGGGCGGCATGAGAGATGTGTTGACAGTGTTTAGGTAAATGGTGCTTTATCATGACTCCGGGGTCCCACAGTCCGCAACCTGGTCCTCAGGAAGTTGATTCTCTCCCCCCCTCATGGATCATAATGGCCTGAAGTAATCACAGGTAGCAGCAGGTGAAAACGCAAACAAACACACGCAGACAGAATCAAAACTCATCAACACCCACAGAGCACTGAGCTGAGCTCGCTTTTTCCCCGCAGTCTGAGTATTCCTGCTTACACACAGATCCTGACCATAGAAGGGAATCTCTCGGGCTGTTTGTAATCTTACACACACGAGTGTTAGATTCCCACTAATGTGTGTGTGACTCATATATGACAAATGGACTCGGGCCTGCAGGCTGTTGTCATGGTGGGCTCTTGAGAAAACACGCTGGCATCGCCTCAGGGGCAGAAACCTGTCCAATGCTTTCCACAGCAGAAAGGCACCTGCACCGACCAATCAGATGCATGAAAAGGCAGCCAGACTGACCAATGGGTTTGAAGACTGAGGGTTTATAAAAATTCGTGTCAGCAGTGATGTCCCAGATTAGACAGCACTGAGCAGTAGAAAAGCCTGATGCAGAGACGGCTCTTCACTGAGGGGAACGTGCGAGCTGTCAGAGCTGCAAACAGATGACTCTTTTCAGATCGTCAGCGAGAGCCCGAAGTGATTAAAGTGCGTGTGATGAACAAATTATTAAACAATATTTTTGACATCCTCCCTCTTATCTTTTTTAGCTTTTAACGGGAGAAGCAAAAATAGCCCTTTTGATTTCCTCTAAAAACAGACCAGAGAGTTTGAAGGGATGTTTGTGAAGACAGCAAACGTCCAATAAATAACTCGTTTGAAAAAGAGACGACAGCCTGTTCTCCATCAGATGAACAATGTGTCACTCTTTACTACTACTACATACTTTACTTTCTAAACCGTTTTTATTTGATGGTTTTGCATCGATTTCTAGGAGACAATAGGACAAAGTTGCTACAGTCCTGTTAGCGGGTCTGACGGCTGAAGGCACCGTGTTGGTTTGAACTGAAAGCAAAAATCAACACGCTGTAGCTACTCATAATAACGATTCAAAGGCTGTTTTAGAAAACGCCTACTACTACAATCTAACGCAGTGTTCAGTATGTACTGTATATGCTGCTTCTTTGTGTTCAAAATAGTCTGTAGTCTGACCTCCAGTCAGTGGTTATTCTGCATTATACCCGTCTAAGTTGGTGTCTTGGAATGAGGAAGTAAACAACAGCCTAGCTGACGAGAAAACGCCGCCTCAGTGTCGCGTCCACTTACAGTCTGAAAAAAGCTGACGAGAGATTCATTTACAGGTTCATGATTTAAAGAATCAACAAAGATAACTGGTGGTATCTTTGTGTGGTTCAGTCTGATTGGGATTATTTCCTCTCTGACCTGGCGCTTTGCATTGTGGGAAACTGTATGTAAGGGAGACTGGTCTGATGCAGACTGCAGATGTTTTCTGAATCGGTACGACATCCTGGTATTTTTTGGCGTACTGCGGATCTTGCATTTGTTCTCATACTGCATGCTGCATTTTAGCCAAATCAGTACGCACTACTAGTGTACTAGGCGGTTTCAAAAACAGCCGAACAAGCTGTGGTTGATGATACCGCGCTTAGCAATGTTTATCATGTTCAACATCGCCGTTCTGCTTGCTAACATACTTAACTGAGCTATTTCTCGACTGAGTATCAAAAATGGATTAGTCATCAACTTTTTTCACACATGCACTCTTGAATATTTCTAAAATATTTCCGACAGGTGGCCTCTGAAATCTTCAGATATCTTCAGGATATGACGTATATGATGATATGACGATGAGGAAATAGCGGATGAAGCAACAGAGTCCCAAGATATAATCTCTACAACACGTTCTGGGTCTCCGACCAGCACAAGTCCCTGAGGTATTCATGATGTCTGACGGCTGACGGCAATCCGAGTAAGAGCCGTTGATCTATTTCAGGACCAAAGTGTTTGAACAAGTGACTGACACTGACATCCCCGGGGAGCGCTAAGCTGCCTGTGTGACTAAAAATACCGTTAAATTTGAACATCAGCTTCTAATGCAGCTCATAAAATCATTACATCCTTCAACATGTCAACTTGACTTCAAGCCGCTCGACAGCCACACAGCTGGATTATCCTTTAAAAAGCTCTGAATAGCTTTCCTATATTAGCTCAAAAGAGCTGTTGATTTATCTCTGACCTCCTCGGGCTGGTTGTTGAAAAAAGCATGTTCTGTATTTTCTTTGCAGGACTTCATTTGTAAGCCTTCAGATTACAGATAAAACAGTCCATCTATGGCATTGCTATTCTGTAAGCTAATGCTTTGAAGCTAAAGAAATGCAGGACTAACTCCAGGGGGGGCTGCTGGAAATCCTTCATGTAATATAATTTTGGGGTGTTTTGAACACTTTTGGCCGGGCTCCTCCCACCGTCTGAACATTTTAAACTGTCTGGACAACCGATATAATCTGCGTGAAGATGATCTGAGGTTTTTTTGGTGTTTTTTGCTGCCGGTTGTGTCCTGGTCGCGCTGCTCAGGTCATGACATGCAGCACCATCTCGTGACGAGACGGTCCTGTTGGCTTCCTCCCAACGCCCTGCAGACTGAGACCATGTGCCTGCTCGCTAGTCTGTGAATAACTGCTCTCCTCTGCCTGCTCCTTCACTCTGTCTTTTTTTTTTACTCTTACTCCATCATATGCTTCCCGTCTGTCCCCTCTCGCACTCAGACTGTCGCTTCAGCTCGCTTCTTCTCGTGCAATCAAACCTGTTTTCCTGTTTTTTTTCACTCTCTCTCTTGTTGTTTTCCTTTAGCTGTTCCTCCTTGTTTACCCTCTCTTTCTGTCCCTCAGACCCCGCAGCCTGGGTGACTCGTCCGAATGATGAGCGACACTTTGCTTCCAGTGAGTGTCTAATGCATGAGGGGCGACCAATTATTCATCACAACACCAAGGGAAACAACTCTAACTATTCAACCGAAAGAAACAGGACTCTAAATCACGTCGGTTTCATATCTTGTCACGAGAAACTTCACACTCAGAGCTCGGTCAGCAGGAGACAAGTCATCCGTCAAAACAGAAATATCTCCCCACATAATTTCCTCACAAAATGGGTGACATTTATTCAGCCAACACTGCAAGAGAACCACTCAGCAGTGAAGCTTCAGGGGGATTCACTCCAACAGCGAGGCAGAGTCAAATGAACCCGTGCTGAACCTGTGGTTTTCAGAGATGACCCAAGAAAAACCCCAAACTCAGGAACATGTAATGAACTAGATGTAAAATCAAAACCAATACCAACTTCAGAGCTGATGTGCCTCTGTGGCTAAAAGGCTCATCAATTATTGCTCGTCCTGTGGCTGATGAGAACAAGTTATTTAAACTCAAATACAAGACTTCCCGACATGTCCAGGATGCAGAAATCATAAGTTCTGTAAGCCTGAGTTAGTCACTTCTCTCTTTGTATAGTTTACAGAGAAAGAGAGAAAAGAGAGAAGGGAGAGAGAGCAGAAAATTATTAGAAAAGCTTCATGTGAGGGACTCGCTCTCGAAGCAGCGTTGACATTAAAGCGAGAGAAAGACGTGAGAATGGAGAAAAGTGTGAATGAAGGCACTGTGGATATTTAAGGTGATTTGTCCTCACACTGCTCCGGATTCTCTGTGGTCCAAAGTCTCTGTGTGGACTAAAAGTGTCCCTCCTGGAACCTAACCCTCCCATCATGTCACTCAGAAGGATTAAAGAAGCTAAGCCCCCCCCCCCATCCCTCTCCCATCAGCCACGTTTGACGAGGAATCACTGACTGAAAGCAGGGAGGGATTTATATTTTACATGTGTGTGGCATTCTTTATTCTAAACACCCTCCTGGTTGTACGCTCTGACAAACAGCAGAACACGAGGACTGATGATGAAACATGCATAAAACATAGAAGTGATCCGGAGCAGGCAAGATGAGAGATTCCAAAACTTTCCAAAATAAAAGCATCATTCTGAAGAGCACAATCAACACAGCAACTCAAAGAAGAGCTCACCTTCCAATCATAGTAGAGTGCTGCTGCACGGCGGCCTCTAGGAGGCGCTCCAGGATGGTCCATTCTCCCATGGTTGGAGTTTGGAGGCATCCACTGGGCACAGAAAATCAGAGCGGACCCCACTTCAAGCGGGTTTCCAAGTCAGCAGGGCACCAGCGCCGGTGTCAGAGTCCCCTTTTTTGAGTCTTTAAGTCCACTTGTTGAGTAGAGATGAGGTAGGCTGTGGCTTGAGACGGCTTCTCCGGTGTAAAGAGCAACCAAGCAGCTCAGTGGCACCTCATTGTTGCCGCTGTGATCACCCTTCACCTTTCTTTTTGACAAAATCCCAAAATAAAAACCAAGCTTTGAACTACACCTGAGATGCTTGGACTGACTCTCGTCTATCTGCTAGCTGCACACACACCCATTCTCATGTCTGTGTGTGTGTGTGTTTAATTCTCCGTCCATGCACGTGCTCAGGTGAACGTGTCAACTTCTCCTGCCTGCCTTTTTCTCTGCTCTGGGTGCATATGACCCTGTTTAGCCCCCTAAACAGCTGCTCAGTCAGATGTTCTCACACACACACACACACACACACACAAGCACCTGGGGACACCAGCACTCATCTAATTCTACTGAGTTTCAGGTAGCAATGGTGGTTTGTGCAAACAGGCACCCATCACTCACACACTAACAGTGCGCCCTCACACTGGTTCTTTGACAGCATCTTGTAGTAACTCTGGGGGTTGGGGGGGGGGGTGGGTTCAAGTCCATGCACTCATGTGAACCGGAGCAACCAGGGATCTGTGTGTCTGCTCGTTGTGCACTCCTCCATCCTCTATTCTGTCCCCTTGTTTTCTGTCCTCTCTTCAAGCTTATTTTTCAACGGTTCCCTTCTCCTCTTCTGTTGCTCCTTGCCTTCTCTCCTGGTTTGGATCATGCAGCGCTGGACTGAAGCATCGCTCACTCCTCCTCCTGCTGCTGCTGCTCCGTCTCCTTCCCTGTGCTCCAAACCGTCGCTGGTTTCTCAAGTCCTCCTCCTCCTCCTCCTTCTCACTGCCTCTCTCTGCCGTTCTCCGTGTTTCTCTCAGCGTAGTTTACGAGGAGCAGCTATCCTCTCCTCTCTTCCCTTCATCTTGTTTTTTTCCTTCCCACTTGGTCTCCCTCTCTCTGCTTCTGCCCTCCACCTGCCTCCGTCTCTCTCTCACTCTCTCTCTCTCTGAGCCAGTAGGCAGCCAGACCAAGCGTGTGTCTACAGGATTAGAGCGAGGAATCATCTCTGTGCTCCTCCCCCCTCTCGCTCCCTCTCACTCCCTCTCGCTCCCTCTCACTCCCTCTCGCTCCCTCTCACTCCCTCTCGCTCCCTTCACTCCCTCTCGCTCCCTCGCCATCACTGTGTTTATCCCCCCCCCTTCCTCCTCCTCCTTCATCTCTTACTGCCTCAAACACCACACAAATCATTTCCCACTCTTTTCTCCAACACCATGTATTGCTCATGATCTTGTCTTCTCGTCTGTTTGTGTTGATACACACGGCTACGAGGATGATGCTCACTGTGAACACACACACACACACCAAACGTGAGACAGGAGGGGTAGTGCCATACTGAGGCTATGCATAGAATGTGTGTGTGACATGTAAATTAAATTAGTGACAGTCATCAAGAGTAATTTACAGAGGATGTACTGTCACACACACACACACACACACACACACACACATAATGTAATCATGGCAGACTTTTTTTTAAAGCAATGTAACACTAAAAGGTTTAAGCGTTTAATTATTTCCATTATCCATTAATCCTTTCAGACTTTAAATAAATAAAGAGGCACTGATATGCCATGTTGGGAAGGTTAGTCCAGCGAGTGAGAACACTGGGGTCATGATGACACCTGTTATTGGTTATTTTAGGGTTTAAATGTCAAAGGTGGTTATTAGAAATCGACAACTACAGACCCGTAACTTGGATCATCTGAGGCTCAGATGGTTGTCTAAACCGCCAGGTGTTCGATCACTAGCTCCTGCAGCCACATGTCCGATGTGTCCTTGAGCAAGACACTTAACCCCAAGTTGCTCCCGCTGCTTCGTCGGCGGTGTATGAATGGGATTAGTTACTTTGGAGATTTCACTTAGCAGCCAGTGTGTGAATGTGTGGGTTTGACCTGCGGTGTAAAAGCGTGATACAAGCTCAAGTTATTTTACCATTTCTGTTATTTTCACACATGCACAAAACGCCTGGAAAATTCCCCAAATTTTGTCAGGGAGAGCTGTGTGAATGCAGCAGGAAGAAGTCCGGAAAATGCAGTGAAATCTTTGCGCATCTTACTCTTTACTGCTAATAGTCACATTTAACTACCTGGAACCAGCAAATATTTGACACTTTAACTTGTTAACTGACTTTAAAAGCTATTAACAAAGTTCATATTGTCAATGAAAATCATCCTGAGACTCTGCAGATGCACTTTGTCTTGGTTTCACGTTCTGTATCTTTCTTGTGTCGATATCAAATTATCAGGCAGCTACTGAATCTTCACTGTAAAGATGTCTGCACTCTTCCTGATTAGCACTAAATGTCAGACCAGCAAAGTTAGTGTCTAGAACACCGTGGAGCATTCAGCGACTACAGCGTGAGATATTTTCCTCTGGAGACGGAGGGCGACAAAATATTGAAAATATCATAGACTGTAAATATTAATGAACAAAGTCGCCTGTTCCTGCAGGGGGCGCTGGAGTCTCATCGATGGAGGTCTCCATGCTGGAAATGCTGTCTCAGTCTAACTTTCAGTCAACCTAACGACAGGCTGAGAGCTGGAGCTGAGGCGGGTTTTAAGCCTCCTGACAAACATTACACCGCGGGCGCCTGTCAATAAGGTCAGTTACACAGCTTATTGTGAATAACTCTTATCCTTCATCAAATCAAAACAGACGAGTTATCAAAAAATTAATCTTGTGAGAAAACAATTTGTGTCAAAACAGGCTTTTTTGAATGGGTGTGTATGTGACTTCCTGTGCTTCTGCAAACAGCCTCTAGTGGACACTCAAGGAACTGCAGGATTTTGCACTTCCGCATTGGTCTAATTTTTCAACTCCACAGGTTGTCGCTTGGAAGTGTTTACAGAGGAAGGAATTGGAATTTCAAATTCCCATCTTGGATCTGTTTCAACCTCCATGACAAAAAACATGTTTTGCCTGAATGTGAGCCAAGCCACGTCCATGACCCCAAGAGGCCGACCTTCCTGCACTATTTTAAATGCGGGGTCAACTTCCAGCCTCCAACTTTGACCTCACCTGAGACAACAGGTAGGAAACTAATTCACTTCAGTTAATCCACTCAATTCATTACCAATGCAGAGCAGGTACCTCGTGTTCCTGTGTATTGTGATGGCTCTGATGCTTCATATGCAAAACGGGAGTGCTACACTAACCAGTACATTCCTTCTCTCATCGGAGAGAACCTAGTTAGCTTGCATGCTAGTTTTAAAAAAAAAAACACAGAGCTTGTTTTAATTTAAGTTTCTCTCAGGTAATAATCCCCCCAAAGAAGAGTGCTTTCACACTAGCACAAACCTACTGAAAACTATCTGAAGTTTTCGGGCTGCGCAGACGTGAGAACGCAGCAGGAAATATTCAGGAAAATTCATCAGATGCAAGTGGGATGGGGTGGTGACTGGTGCGATCTGCATGCTAGTAATGAAACTGATACAGTATTTGTTTCTGTTCACCTGCATATTCCTCTCTGTGATTTTGGTGATATTGTAAATGTGTCAAACTACTGAAAGAACTGATATAAATGCAAAAGTTGCGTTGTACAGCAGACTCTGTGGCTTCTTCCACGGCGCTATTTCACCTCCTGAGAGCCCCCCTGGTTACAGCTGCCTTAGCCGCCAGGGTCTCAAAATCCTGCTATATCTGGGTGACTGGTTAATCTGTGCCCCCTCCTGAGATCAGGTAATCCAGGACAGGGACAGGGAGATGGTCCTGGGCATGTTCAGATGACGGGAGGGGAGAATAGAAATGCTTGTGATCATGCGTGAGAGTACATCAGAGCAGTGAAATGCATTCAGTAATTTGATATCTGATTTACCTAAATTATAGAATTAGTAGAAGTAGAAGTTGTGCATTTATTCTAACTTCTTCAATTTTTTTCAGTTGCTATGTCTGTTTGGAAGAGCATTCAGACAGTCGAGTCCTAAATTCCAGAAAATGTCAGAACATCCAGCCGCAAACATTTTCCAGAGTGTCCCTTTCAAACAACCCGAACATTGGAAGATCAGCCCCTCCCTCCACACGTCATGGATAATGTTGCCCTCACTTTTAAACCCCTACTGCAACCCCTTACCCCCCATCCTAAGCACTACTCCAACCCTCACCTTTCACATCAACAGCATGAACACACATGCTCAGTATTATGCAACTATCTCACCGTCCTCCTGAGAAAATAAAATGTCTTGCATGCTCGTTTTTTGTAACGATAAGCACATGGTATTTTAACACACTTCTGCATGTTTGCGTTCCAAGTTGCAGACCACACTGATCATTTTTGGGAGATTTTATCACGAGTGCAGTGCACCTGTGAAAGGGGGCTTTAGAATCTTCCGCTACCATTTTTTAACAAATCGTCCTATCAACACCGTAGTGGTGGCGAGACTTGTATCTGAAGGACAGTAGCCGTCTTTGGCACTCAGAGCTCTTGAGGCCTTCAAAGAAAAAGGTTGAGTTAGCATGTTGACCCCGGGTTTTATAAAGCGGAGAGTTCATCCTTGTGGGGTCATGGACACAACTTTGGTTACATAAGATCTGAAGGGGCGGGACAACGGCTGTAATTCAATTTAGACCGAGGTGACAGATATCCTTCCATCCCACAGAAGCATAGCTACATTCCTAATCTTGATTATTTCTTGTGCTTACTTCAGGGTGCACAGTGGCATGTTGGGATGGGACCTCAGCTGGGTTGCAGCACAGACCTCTGTGTGGTTTTTTTTAATGTGTCCTTACAAAGTGTCTGTGTGTCTGATGCATGAAAGAGGTGAGGCAGGCAGAGGGACAATGAGCTGCCATGTGTTTGCATGTCACTTTGCAGCAAACAAGC